CAAAATTAACATAAATAGTAGAAAAAATTTCTTTCAAATTATCTTACTCATTTCTTTATTTCGTTATCTGTATATTTTTTTACACATTTTTTTAAATTTTTTTTGTTTTTTTTTATTTTTTTTTATTTTTTTTTGTGGTTTTACAGTTTGACATTCTAGTGTTCTTTAATTACATTAACCGCCATAAAGCGAAAATTTTGGTGTGTATTTTTGCCGTTGTTGTGTTTTGTATGTTTGCTTTGGGTGCTTTGTATATTTTAAAATAGTTTGTATATCTGTGTATCACTTCACCCTTTTTTGTATAAAGTATTTGTTGTATATTTTGTTAGGTTTTGTATTCTTCTGTAATGTTTTGTATGTTTGGTCTAATTTATAGTTTTTGTGGTATTTCCTGTAATATTTATGCGTGAGTGAGTTTTATGTGCAAACCCTAACTGACATTATACACATCCACAAATACACACACACACACGCACTCACACACACACACACACACACACACACACACACAAACACAACTGTACACACACACACGCACTCACACATACATACACACACACTCACGCACACAAACACACACAGTTGTTTGAAGTTTAAGATGAGACTAATTCAATAATGTCAACACGAATTCGCTCAAATTGATGAATGATGGATTGAATGAATGAGTTAATGGATGAATGAACGATTGAATAAAGATATCGCCCACAGAAACGCGTCAAGAAATGAATGATTAAATAAAAAGGAATGAATGATTACATAAAAAGGAATAAATGAATGAATGAATGAACGAATGAACGAATGAACGAATGAACGAACGAATGAACGAACGAACGAATGAACGAATGAACGAACGAATGAACAAATGAACGAATGAATGAATGAATGAATGAATGAATGAATTAATTAATGAATGAATGAATGAACAAACGAACGAACGAACGAATGAATACACACCGACGACTAATCCCTCCACCAGATGTCATGTACTCCACAAACGGCCTCTCCAAATACAAGGATGACGACGTGTACGATTATGACGTCATACTCATTCTACAGGATCTCAGTCACGTGATCGTTGGTGCCAGGTTGGCCGAGTTTTTTTTTCGTTACGTCATTCTAATTGTTCTTGTAAACGACGAACAAAACTTATTTATTACAATTCTTTCTTCAAATTTTTTCAGAGGCGTTAACAACAAACACACACAAAGCATGTAGAAACAACGTATCATACACAGTGTACTTGATAGGCGGGGATCACTATGCAATTGAATCTGGTCACTGCTATAGCAGTGCCAGGCACTTTACCGCTTTACCATCGCGACGCCTAATTAATATATACATAAATATCATCATCCTCTCTTTCATTTCCTCCTTCTCATCGTCACCACCAACATCACAAAAATCATTACAAAGATCATCGTCATTGTTATCACCTGCACCATCATCATCGTCGTCATCATCATCATCATCAAGATCACTCATCACGATGATGAAACGATGAATGTCGTGCCTCTTTGTTCTGTGGAAGAAATGTTTCAGGTTTAAAACGTTTGATAAATTATTGCTGCTATGATGATGACGACGTCGACGATGGCGACAAAACTGATGATGATGATGATGATGTTTTTTTGATGATGATGATGACGACGGTGATTGTAATGATGATGATGTCAATTTTGTCTGGGCAATGATGATGATGATGACAATAATAATCTGCTGATGTTCTTGATATGCAAAAGTTGTTAATTATGATGGCGATGATGACGACGATGATGATGACGACGACGATGACGATGATGATGATGATATACCAATGATTATGTGGATTGCAATGTTAATTAGAACGCTAGTAACAAATGTATGTAATTATCGTCAATGAAGGACAAACTGAATGAAATAAAAGACGACGATAATGATGATGACGTTGATGATGATGAAGAAAAAGAGGAAGTAGATGATGATAATGATGATGATGATGATGATGATGATGATGATGATGATGATGATGATGAGGTTTTTTCATGCACTTGATAACTGAAGCGTGTCTTCATTTTTGAAACTTATGCGAACACGTGTTCCTCTGCTTTCCAGCCTTAAATAACGACTGCAAAAAATTTAATAGGATTTTAATCTGAATGAATGGATGAATGAATGAATGAATGAATGGGTGAAAAAATGGGCGAATAAATGTGCCTTCGTCATCATCATCGTCGTCATCATCATCGTCGTCGTCATCATCATCATAAAAACCGCGTCACATTCCATCTCATTGATTCATGACAGTGACGAGCAATCATAATAAACATTTATTGATACTGTTGCATATACGCACGCACACACGCACATATAGAAACACATACACACACACTCACCCACAGACATTCACAGACAGACATGCAAACATATATTCACAGACATGCTTTCACAGACATTCACAGACATACCTTCACATACATACACACATAAAACACAGACACTCATTTATGCCGATACTTTGGTGCATGAAGATTTTTGATTGAAAATATTTTTAAATGTTTGTTCACCGACATTCACATGTTCGACATCAAAGAAAACATAAAATAATAATACTACCTAACACCATGTAACTGCATGCGGTTACACGCACGCACCACATGTACACACACACACACACACACACACACACACACACACACACACACATACAAACTTATACAAACAAATACAATCAAACGAACGCACACGTACACACTCCTTTTATTTGCACATCCCACAGGAAATGTTCTACATGACAATTAGTAACGCCTAATATATCTGTAATGATAGTCATTATGTTTTCGTCCGGTTTGATAACATGTGATGATGACGATGATGATGATGATGACAACGATGACAATGAGGATGATGATAACGATGATAATGAGGAGAAGAATGATGACGATGATGATAATGGTGTTGACGAGGAAATGACGAAGAAGATGATGACGATTACGCTAGTGATGACGACGACGACGATGATGAAGATGATGAAAATATGACTATAATGATGTCACCATGATTATCATTTGGTTTTTGACCGATTTACTTACATGATGAATGTGATGATGACGTCAATGATGATGATGATGATGATGGTGATGACGACGATGATGATGGTGACGACGATGGGAATGTTAATAATGATGATATTATTATGATTGATCATACTCATTACATTCTCATTCATTATTTATTAGTACTTAGATTTATTCAATTCTGCTTTTGTTCATGGTTCATTCATTTGTTTATTTTCTGTTTTGTTTTTCCATTCATTCATTCATTCATTCATTCATTCATTCGTTCGTTCGTTCGTTCATTCGTTTGTTCGTTCATTCGTTCGTTCATTCGTTTCAATTTATTAGCATCCACTTGTTTATTATACTATTTATAGATTCGTCGTTTAACTGATTGTTTGTAGAACAATGAAAATTAAAACTACAAAAATTCAACGCGCAACTAAAAGTTTTAATTAAAAGAATCAATAGCATCTGAGATGCTTGATTGATAAATGAATGGATGGATGGATGGATGGATGGATGAACGGCAAAAAGACGGATGAATAAATCGATAATTAGATGGATGAATGGATAGATAGATGGATGGTAGATAGATGGATGGATGGAAAGATGCATGGATGAATAGATGTATGGATGGATTGATAGATTGATGTATGGATACAAGTATGTGTTTTGTGTGCGTTTGGAGTTAGCACTATTTTCGTGGCTGGAGACAATTCAAAATTTAAAAAAAATTTGAATTTTATAATTGTAACAAAATGTTAAAATCAACTGAATCAAATAATTCATGCAATAACTTCAGAAATTGATTTTTTCAAATGTTATAAATGCTTCCACGCCAAGAGATGTATGATCCGTTGGGATCATTTGCCGTCTAAAATCTTCCTCAGCTATTATAAAATTAAAATTAATTGAACAACAAAAATGAACAAACGCTGCTCATAAATAAAAAATAAGCAAACAAAAAGAGAGAAGAGAGAGAGAGAAAAAAAAAGAGAAAGAGAGAGAGAGAAAGAAGAGAATGGAGAAGGAATGAATTTTTTTTGTAAACTGTACTTGAGATGACAAAAAGAAATAATGAGAGGTTTAGAGTTTCAAATAATTTTTCTAACAAACAAATTTTGTTTGCTTTTAAATGCATTTTTAAAATTTCAAATAAGAAGAGTTTTTCGTCTTTAGAATGTTTACACTTAATTCAATGAAAAATATTCATTTACTGAAAGTCTTTTGAAAATTTGTTATTTTCATTATGAGTAATGCACGAGTATATTCAACTAACGCCTTAGTATTTTGACAAAATTTTTTAAAAAAGCTCACAAATCTAAAACAAATTACTAACACACACAGCTCGGCAAACAGATAGTTGTAACAAAAAGTTGTAAAAAGTGCATGGAAGACACGGAGCAGAGCTGTTTGACTCCTGATAATTGAACTATGACGCATGGCTACATTATTAATTCAATAATGTTTAGAAGCTATTCACACACACTGTCTCTCTTTCACTCTCTTTCCCATTTTTTTTTCTCTTTCTCTCTCTCATTTTTTCTTCTTTCTTTCTTTCTCACACACACAAATTCACACTCAACAACTCTAACACACTTACTTGGAAAAACTTACAGATGGACACACACACAAACACAAAGATACACTCACAGTCAAACACTTACGTTCCCATACAAACACACACACGCACATCACACAGCACACACACACAAGCGCAAACATTCCCACTTGCACATGTGTTGAGTTGGAGCATATGCGCTGATGTTTGCTCCGTACCAGCGAAGAATTAAACAAACCCAAACAAGTACGCAGGGAATCTATAATAAAAACTTTGCAATGTTTCTAATCAAAAACCGAGTTTACACACGTCTCATAATTTTTTTTATCAAGATTGATAAACGTTGGCACGAACACACATTTTAAAAAGCATAATTAAACAAACATTGAACGTATGCACCTAACATGGCGAGGACATCCCGCCATGTTAGACGTGCTCTTGCAAAAACGACTCCATTATTTTTTAAAGGCGTCAATGCGCAGATGAACACAACTGATGTTCATAAAAATGTGCTAAAACAAACACATCAACACCACTTCAACATACAGAATCCTGTAATTGGACACAAAAATGCACACTTTAACAATCGAAATGAAGTGAAAAAATGTCATCCAAAACGTGAAGCCACAGACAAAAACAGAGATATTGAGATATTTTCAATGTGTTTTGTGTTCAAACTTTACACACACACACACACACACACACACACACACACACACACACACACACACACACACACACACACACACACACACACACACACACACATACATACACCTGTGCACAATTGCTATCAAGAAATTCCACACGTGTGCAGCTTGATAGAGTATGCAAAGGTACCTACAGAGGTATTGCTATGAACAACAAAAATGCTTACACAAATAATTAAGACATTGGCAGAAGGACATTCGAAACAAAAATAAATACTTTCCGAAAAACATGGAAAACAAGCAAGAAGACACACACGCACACACAAAGACACCGATAAAACACAGACACACAGACAGACAAACGCGTAGACCTACACTCACAGGCGTTAAATTTGATGCTTAGCATCGCTTGAATCGATGGTTCTAGGAATGTTTGCTTACACAAGGAACCCAACACGCAGCAACAAAAGACGATGTGACAGGACAAAACACCGCACCCAACAATACAATTCGACACAATACACAACTTGAAAAAATAATTTGACAATTTTTTCTTTAGCTTCAAATTTATCTAAAAAAAACGTCTATTTTAAATTTATGCTGTGATTAATATTTATAAGAATAATCAAAATGACAAAAATAAGATTATATTCACTTATATTTTTTAAAAGATAATCAACAAACGTGTTTAAAAATCCGTGCTTAAACACTAAATAAACATGAGTATCTACTGATTGATGTTGTATTTGAAACTCTATTACGGACTGATAGATAAAAATTGTACTTTGTACTTCCGGGCAGCTGTAGGTTCTACCCACTCACAGATTGTACATGGAGGGAGAGTTGCATTAATGGATCGACTTTGGAATCATTTGATGATGCCGGTGCAGATGAGTGGAGAAAAATGAACTTGAAAAATAATTGATGGCAATGGAAAAATAGAAAAATAGAAAAACAGTCATAAGTGGAACAACAGCAGCATCAAACAACTGCAATAACAACAATAACAGTTAATATTATTATTACTTTAATAATATTGAAAATAATAAATAAATAAATAAATAAATAAATATATATATATATATATATATATATGAAATAAACTTTCTGAAAAAAAACATAGAAGTAACAAAAACAAATGCGCAAAGAACAATAATAATGACCAATAAATTCTCGAAACGTGAGCGATAAAGCAACAATTCATCAATCAGGGCATATCATTCGATAACGAATCAAAATGAATAACATACAAAAAGTAAACAACAAAAAAACAAAAGCATAGGACTATAAGCATAGAACATGAAACAAAACAAAGAACCAAAACAAGGAGCAAATAATAAAAATCATTATCGCCATTCAACAACAAATTAATCATTCATGAAGAAACCGACAACGAATGAAAAGCAAACACGAGCGGGGACAAAAAAATTATAATAAAATCAAAACAATAAAAAGTGAAATTGTAACCAAAAAAACATTATAAACAACAATATAAACAATGAAAGACACTAAAAACAACATAAAATTGACTAAACATCACCACAATACGTGAACAATTTTATTCAAAAGTCATATAACAAAATATCATTGAAATAACAACATTACGAATGAACATAAGCAGATGAATAAAAAACATAAAAGACCCAAACAACCAACAAACATAAAGCAAGTTTATAAGCAAGAGCGTTAACATCAGCAAGAACTTAAATCCAAAACAACAACATCAACATCAGCAACTAAAAATTAAAACAACACTACAAACAACAACATAAGAATCAACAAAACAACAAAGAATAAACGAGATACACAAAATATAAACAAAAACAAGGGAATAAACACAAATCATTCACAACAACAAAAGCACAAACAACAACAAAATCACATTCAAACCACACAACAGCAACAGCAGCAACAACAACAACAGCAGCAACAACAACAACAGCAGCAACAACAACAACAGCAACAGCAGCAACAACAACACAAACAACAACAAATGCATTAGAACATAATTGATCTTTGGGTCATTATTAGTCTAATGTTGGTACCCTCGGTGGGTTTCTCACTGGCGCCTTTTTGTCTAACGATCGATGTATTAGTTATTTAATATCGTTCTAATTTCGCAGTCGTTGTTGTAGTTGCTGTTGTTGTTTAGTTATTTAATATGTTGCTGACGATGTTGTTGTTATTGTTGTCTGTTTTTGTTGCTGTTGCTGAGATATTTAAAATGTTTTTGTTGTTGTTTTCGTTGTTGTTGGTTAGTTATTCAATGTGTCGTCGTCGTTGATGATTTTTCAAAATCAAGTTGAAATTTTACTTTTAAAACGATTTTAACGAAATGTGCTGGTTTTGAGTTCATTCCTTCCCATCTACCTCTAATTCTCAAGTTGTTTGATTCTCACAACTAGGTGCCTAAACTTTTTTTTACCACTTTCGATGTTGTTGTTGTTGTTTAATGTGATGCTGTCGTTTTTGTTATTGTTGTTGTTGTGAGATGATGAAAAGTTATTTCCGGGGATTTGAAATTATCATTTGTTTATAATGTGTGTTTTTGATGACGTTGTTATGTTAACTAATTGTGACACTGTTTTCTCACAATTTTCTTTTCAAAATTTCTCCAAATATCAACAACCAGCAGCTCTGCGTAGATACATGTAAAACAGCGCTTCACACACTTGGCATGTGACTCAGGGCTCTCTTAGTATTCGAATCCTTTGACTGCACAGGCAATGCCAGGCGTCTTAACAGTTGCGCCACCGCAGTGCCCACTAATTTTTGTTGTCGAAGTTTTTATTGCTATTTTCATGAAAGCATTAGAAAGCTTATTTAATTTTTCATGGCTTGCCAGTGCTGATATCATCAAAAATTTAACAGTCTAAATAAACGTTTCAAGTTCTATCCGTCACATAAAAGTACGGAGCCATCAAACGTTACTACCTAACTGATGTTACTGCTGCTGTAAATTACTAAATGAGTTGTAAAATATTTGACTGCTTGGTAGAAAAAGTATTTTAGCGTCAATATTATAACTATTATATATGACAGAACAGTTAAATAATAACCTGATCTAAAAGACAAACAATGAAATGATTATATGGATAACTTTATGTTCCGCAATTTTTTATTCTGTAATTCCGTAATAAATAATTTTGAATCCCGTAAGTTTTGTGTTTGCAGCATGATTTAGCTGTCAGTTGTCACAAAAATCTTTTATTTTATTTTATGAGCTAATATGTGTTTAATTGATGATGTGAGTTACATTTGACAACTAACCTATTGCCTAATTTATTTAAAAATATTTCAGTAACTTCCAGAGCATGACAGCAGTATCGGCCAATAACAAAACGCTGGCATACAAATAAATGAATCTGAATATAATTTCAATAACATAGAAACAACGTTCTAAAATACACACAAACACACGTAAACACAAATAAACACGCACAGTCAGTAACAAACATACCCACAGCAGCTCCTCTAAAACCCACAAATAACTTATCCTAACACGAGTCAACATATTTATCTACCTTCACTTAAATTCCTACATCCAATACAGTCACTGACACATGTACACACACAAACACCACACACACCCACACACACACACACACACACGAACGTTAATATACACACGCACACAAAACCATCGCCTGCCGTAAATAACGCGTAGTACCTACGCTTCTAGCAGATCCAATAAATACGAATAAAACATTTATGAAAACCGCGCGCTCTCCTTGCTCTAAAGTTGGCTGTAAATAAAAGACAGAATGCAGTTTTATGAGCCCATCTAGCTGACTGCCTCTGATAAGGTTGGCTTGCATCTTGTAAGATAGTTTCGTTTATTTCTTCATTCCTTCGTTCTTTCATTCATCTATTTCTTCATTCATTCGTTTCTTCGTTCTTTCATTTGCTCCTTCCTTGGTTCTTCCATACGAGATGTGATTGTTGCTCAAATATTTATAGAAGCTTTCGAAAGAGATGGGGTGATGACGATGTCAGCTGGCAGTGGTTTTGCACTGACAGAGGTTTGAAAGTAAACTTGTTCATTATATGAGAGCAGTTGATGAACATTTGGATGTAAAAGTTTCTAAATTATTTTTAAATTCTCTAAATAGATACCAAATAATATATGGTCATCGTACATAGCGATAATTCACACAACTATTTATTTCATTTTTACTAAGACTACTGACAACAAAAAATTACTATTAATTAAGTGTCATAGAATACTAAATTGTAACGGTAATATACTTTGTTGGGGTAGTAGTAGTACTATTAATGTAAGTAGTAGATGCAGTAGTAGTGGTGGTGGTAGTAGTGAGAGATAAAAGGAGCAGGCAGGCAAACAGGCATTGGTTTGTTCTATTGGTCATTACTGTTGGCACTCTGATGAGAAATAGGATTAGATTATTTGAGGTCGTGATTGATTGACAAGGTGGCCGACGTTCCAGAGAGCTTTTTTAGATTATTTTATGCTTTTTATTGTTTGATGTTGAATTGGAAATGCGGCGGAGAGAGATTGAAGAAAAAGAGGGTAAAGGAAAGAGAAGAGAAAAAAGAGAGAGATTGAGAAAGTGAAAAAAGAGAATAGAATGGAGAAAGAGAGTAAAAAAGCAAGAGAGTGAAAGATAGAAAGAGATAGCGAGATAAGGTGTGAGAATGTGAGAGAGAGAAGAGGGATTGTGTTTGGTGATCGCCTTTGATCGACCGATAAAAGAATCTCAGTGGGATTGGATGTTTGGCTGCCTGAGATTGCTTGATGCATTTTTTATTAGTCTCAGTAATGGCGTTTTATATCATAGAGACAGTGCAACTGATGTTTATAATAATGATGGTCGGCAGAATGAAGATGATTTGGTTGATTGGGATTCAATTTATGCAGTTGTGTTCGTTATGATGATAAATAAGTAATAATATTTTTTGCAAATAATATTAGAGCACCAATTTTGAAGGATAAATTTAACAGATTAAAGTTTGATGAACATTCATTTGAATGTTGATCTTTAACCTGGTTGAATTCCTAGCATTTTTAATGTAATGACGACTATTTCAAATAACTATCTGTCAATATAAATTATTTAATCAATATAAAAAATTATGTTTTTGATAAACAATCAAATTAAAAATAAATTACAACCTTTAAACAATTTTGCAAAAAGTTTAAAAAGAAATGATACTCGGTTAAAGTAGAATTTTACTATTTTGCATTTAAAAAATACAAAAAACAAATTTTTTCAGCAAGGTTAACAACCCTGAAAAATTGAATGATGATGTTTTTGTGTAAGTAAACTAGAATGAAGTAATTTTCTTAAACCCCCTGGTGTCCCTCTACTTACTATACATCAACAGACTCACCTCTTGAGAAACGTAACGGCTCAACTTGTTTACAAAAGCCCATAATAGCTTCAATAATTTTAAACAAATTGACCGCATCTTTCTTTCTTTCTCGTGCTTTATCCTTTCAGGACATTGGCGACCATCGACATCCACAAAACCAGATCTTTAACACTGTAGAAGTTGAAATGTGGTGATATTCAACAAGTGATTTCACGTATGTTATTCAAATTGATCTTATCAGCTACAAACCTAGAGACCACAACAATTGCAGTGACAACAAAAACTATAGACATGCTGGCCAACAAAATTGCATCACGTACTGATCACAACACCTTCAACAAATACTGAGCACATCAACCAAAACAATACTGACCACCACAACACAAACATACAGACCACCACGGCTACGAACGGGCTTACCAGAGTCAGCAGAGCCTTCAACACACGGCAGCCACACATCCACGTCTCAGTAATAAATCGAAGAGTGCGTAAGCACATGCGTGCTCGCCATTTTTCATTTCCTCCATGCGCACTTCCTTCCGTCCGCCATGTTGACTTTGATCTCTATATTATCGCCCGGCTAATTTCGCG